TGGCAACCCCCAAGTTTCTGGAGGACACTGATGCCTCCAACCTTAAGGGTGCTGGTAGCAGAAGCATCACACCCAGGAAAAATAAGATTTTTGGGAAGATTTTTTCCTTTTTCTTCCCCCCATTTTTTCTTCCTTGCATAGCATTTTTAACTATTAATGAGGATTCTCTGTACTAATTTGGACCATGGCTGTATGGAACTGTAACTGGACTAATCATCTGGACTATTATTAGACTGTTAAAACTTTAATTAGAGAAGTTATTTTTGCTCAGAACAAGATGTTGAAAGGAAATGGAATGACCAACTTGGTGCACTCAGGGCAGCAGTGAACAGCTCAGAGGCTCAGTATGGTGAAGGACAATGAATAGATGCAGCAAAGGGAACCAAGACCTAAGGACCTTCAGGGCTAAGAATAACTTGTTGCAGGAACTTACCATGAAGTAGTAGAGCTGTGAAGACCTGGCCATGAACTCTGGTTTGCACTCAGCCACACAGATCTCCACGAATCCAGCGTGCTGGCTGGGCTTGGCCTCTCCCATCTCACACACTATCCTGGGGAGAAAACAGGAACCAGAAGCAAGGTGAGAGGGAAGCTTTGGTGCTCTGGTTAAGATGGAACTGGAGCAAACAGCCCACAGTGCTGGGGAATGGACTGTAGACTTAACCCACCCTCTTCTGTCCAAGCCAGAATCCAAACTGTGGACTGAGTTATTCTTCAAAGAGTGGTAGCTTTAGGCTTGTCCCACTGAACTTGGTGGGACAAATGCTTTAGTGGTGTAAGTCAACACATCTTCACTTAGATATACAGAGAATTGCTGGTCTGAGGTCAGAGCCCAGAGCCCTCTCTGTCCTCCAGCCTTGCAGGGTGGAGGCTGATGTAAGGTTTAATGACCACTCACTACACTTAGTAAGCTTCTTCTCAGGACTGATGACCCTCAAACTGGAATTGAACCCTCTTGGGGGATTGTTTAGTGCAAAACAGAGGACAACTCCAGGGCATAAGCCATGAGGATTACCCACATTTGCAACCCAAGGACATGTATGGATGAATGAGGAATGGAATCTTCCACTCCTCAATTCCCAAGCTGGGTGGAATGGACTTCTCAGCAGACCCTAGAGGTAGGAACGAGTGCCATTAGGTGTGCTGTGGCCCAGTGTCTGCCACACACCCAACTTACTGCTCTGCTGGGATGTACCCTTCCACCAGAGGTTTGCACTCCACTCCAGCCACTTTGACGTGGGACGCGATGTCCCTGAACTCCAGCCCCAGGTTCTCCCCACGGATGGTAACTCTGGTCCCTCCTTCTCGAGGGCCTGTCACTGGGTTGATCTGGAGAAACAAGCCAGGAAAAAAAGGAGAATGAACAAATCACCTGTGTAAAAAAACCCCAGAATCCTCTTAGGTGAAAGAAGAGGCAATCCCAGGCCTCTTTGTGACCACTAGAGACACCCATGAATGCTGAACTGAAGGAACAAACCTACTCCAGGTACATCACTTAACTGCCCTGCAAACACCTAGCACATATACCCCAACCTCAGAGCATACAAAACTCTATCCCAGCTCTCATTTACTCTCTTTCAACTACTTGCAAAACACCCAGAGATGAGAAGATGTTTTCTAGGTAGGAGAGGGATTTCTGGTGGTGCAGCTGAGCTCTGCACTCCATAGCTATGAGTCATGGAAAGGCAGGAGAGGGATGTGGTGAAAAGAAACAGAGAAAGAACAAGACAAGGACATAAATGGCATCCCAGTCTGGACCTTCCCCAGACCCTAGCAGGGGTAAAATCACTGTGTCTTGCTCAGCAGAGCCAAAGCACCACTCAAACTCCAAAGCTCCATTGCAGACTCTCACCCTGGATCCACCTCTGTGTCTGTGTACCATTCTGGCCCAGGCACTGCTGGGGGATGGAAGTGGGAAAGCATTTCTGCACCACATCCATCACCCTTGTTCAGAGCCAGGTGGAAATGAGCTGTTCCTCACCACTGAAACAAGGCTGAAATCATGGGGCTGGGCCTGAATCACCTCTGTTCTGCCCTTCCTGTTACTCACTCTGCCCAAATGCTTTGCCATTGCTCATTGCAAGGGGTTCAAGCAGTGCTTTCCAAGGGTATTCCCTGCTGCCCACTCAGGATGCCATGGATGCCATCTGCCAGCCTTGGCGAGACTCTCTCTGCAGACAGGAGAGAGGAATTCCCTGTCTGAGGTCTGTACCCACTGGCCAATGGCTCTGCCAAGTGGGAATCTGGGGCTGGCAGCTAGACCCTTGCCTAGCAGTTGGACTGGCAGGGAAAGTTGAGGCACTGGCATTAGTAGGGCTGCTCTCAGCTGCTTCCCAGCACTGAGCCTGGCACCAGGCTGAGCCTGATTTCCACCCAGAGGCCAATTTTTAGAAGGTCCAACTTTATTCAAGAGAGACAGAACTTGGTACCTTTAGGAAAGATGTTATTTTAGGGTATTTTATTTTAGGATGTGTAATTTCAGGTGCCATGAAGCACCTCCTGACTGAGTGACTTTGATCTGACTCTGCAGGGAACCAACCAATTCATAGCACAGCTGATCACAGCCAAGTGTTTGGACCCATAGACTTGTCTAGCATAGACACAACCTCTAGAGCACAAGATCCCTGCTGCAGTCCCATCTCAGGTCCAAAAACCAGATCAGTACCAGCCAACAAAATCAGAACCCTGACAGGCTTATTCCTACTCCAAAAGTCACCAGGATACTGAAGGCCTAAAGAGAAAACAGCACAACATTCCTAAGCCTGACAGGGGAAAGGATTATTTGGGTTGACTGGAGATTTGACCTTTGTCTGTGATTATGAGTTTGATAGACAAGTAGAAAATGGCTAAGAAGAGAAAGAAAGAGAGAGGAATTGATGGTTATTTCCCAGGAAATGAGGGAGGTATCTTTGGAAATGAGAGTGAAAATGAAATGTCTATTGCAGGAGAAACTAACACTGATTGTCTCAGTTGGGGACTCAACACTGGAAACTTGAAACTGACATTTCCAAACTATTTTTACTCTGAATCATTAATAAATGTCCATTCAAGCAAAGTCTTCTGTTTGAAACACTTATTTTGCTGATGTCAGTTCATCCTGTCTGGATCAAACACTCTATGAATGATGCTGGAACACATCACCAGATCAACTGCAACCTGATATGTTCTCAAGATGAAAAAAGAAAGATAAACTAAAATTCCTGTGTTCTAGTTTGTTCCTTATGTACTGGACACACTTTGTAAGAGAACTGAGCTCCCCATGGAATAGTTTGGGTTTGTTTTGTGGTGTTAAACTTGCCATCAAGTGAGTTTTGCTTGTTCTAGTAAGATAAGTGTTAGGTAGGTCTGTGGTTAATTAGGGCTCACCAATGCTTGGAAGAGCTCAGGGAACATCACACAGCAGGTCAAAAGAGGATTGTTTTCTCATGTGACTAATGTCTTTACCCTGAATAAAGGAAGGTGTAGTCACAGCATATGCAGAGTTGGAAGGATGAGGAACATCTAGTCCAACTTCAGGCCCTGCACAGACCATCCTTGAGCATCACACCCTGTGCCTGAGAGCATTGGCCAAACACTCCCTGAGCTCTGTCAGCCTTGGGGCTGTGCCCACTGCCCTGGGAGCTGTTCAGTGCCCAAACACCTCTGGGGGAAGACCCTTGTCCTAATATCCAACCTAAACCTTCCCTGACACAACTTCAGGACATTCCCTCATGTCCTGTCACTGCTCACCAGAAAGAATAGGTAAGTGCTGCTCCTGCACTTCCTTCCGTGACACTCCCTGAGCTCTGTCAGCCTTGGGGCTGTGCCCACTGCCCTGGGAGCTGTTCAGTGCCCAAACACCTCTGGGGGAAGACCCTTGTCCTAATATCCAACCTAAACCTTCCCTGACACAACTTCAGGACATTCCCTCATGTCCTGTCACTGCTCACCAGAAAGAATAGGTAAGTGCTGCTCCTGCACTTCCTTCCGTGAGGAAGTGAAGTTGTCCCAGAGAGCAGAGGGCAGAGCTGCCCCTGCACTGCCCCTCGGGAGCAAGTTGGATCCAGCCATGAGCTCTGTGCTCAGTCTGCTCTTCTCCAGCTGAACACACCAAGTGCCTCAGCCACTCCTCGTGTGGCTTCCCCTCAAGGCCCTTCCCCATCTTCGTTGCCTCTTTTGGACACTCCCCAATTACTGAATATCTTTATTACATTGTGGTGCCCAAAACTGCACACAATACTCAAGGTGAGGCTGCCTCAGGACACTCTGCTAGAAAACCCCTTTTCTTCAGAGCTAGGAGAAAGTTTGAGACCAAATTTTCACTGCAGAAGTCACAAAAAAACCTTGGTGGAAACCTTCTCCTCTCCCTTCCGTCTCTGTGTAAAGCATGATGTTGCAAAAAGTTCTTGCTATGACTCAAGAAACATCAAGAGGAAACTTCACAGAGTGAAGCCAACACAGCACCTCTGAAACCCTCCCTGGGTGGTATTCAATTTGTCAAGGCTAACTTCAAATCCACTTACTTCCCTAAAACAGGAGGCTCTGGGATTCTCCCAGGAGCACCTGAGGGTATTTGCAACCCCATCTCATTGCACTCCCATAGGTGTGTCCAAGAAGGAGGAGTTACCAGGCTGTTCTCCCAGTGAGAGAGGAGGAGCTTGTTTCCATCACAGGTGCAAAAATGTGGAACAAAACCTGTCAGTTTAAGAGAGAAAAACCCAGGCAGGGAAACAAAAGCTGCCAGGAAGCCTCAGCTTTCTCTGGAAGACCCAGAGCTGCCACACTGCATCCCACTCTTAGGAGCTGCTGCTTGTCACTCTTCGAGGAGGTCTTGTGGCTCAGTGAGTCTGTAAGACCTTTCATTTCACTGAGTGGCTCTATAAATGCATGAGCTGGTACAGAATTGCAGGTTGGGGGGAGCTCTGTGCTGGGGATGTCTCTGTGCCCGTGCAAGTGTGAGCACACATGTTGTTCCTCCTCTTCCCTGCACAGATCCAGCCCTGGCTTCTCTCCAGAGTGTGGAAGCTCCTACCCACTGCTCCAGACCTCCCATTAGCTGCAATATATGCAGCCACTTGAGATTACTTCCATGCTAATGGCTCAGCAAAAGACTTTCCAAGAGCCACTTATGATTGCAGCAGACAGCTGGAATATTTCATGAGCAAATATTGCAATGATCTGCTGGAGCTCTGGGAGCTGTTGGAGGAGATGCCAGCAGAATTAGAAGTACATCCCCACTGGAGCTGTAGGGTGGAGAATGAGTGTTTTCTCTTCAAAAAGAGGCTGGAGGTGCAGGGTTGGGATCAAACATGGCAGAGCAATGTGGGTGGACCTTCAGAACATCATGCATGGTCAGCTCCTTGTGGTTTGGACTTCTGCTTTAGTTGATCATCAGCTTCCCCATACCAAATTCTGTGAGTGTTTCCGAAGGTTTGAGAATCAGAAAATATTCCAAAAAGTTTCCCCCCACCTCCCAATAATTTCCAAGGCCTCAAAGTTAAGTTTTCAGCTCTAGCTGCCCATTGTGGCTGTCTGGGTTTGGTTTCACAGCTTCAAAATTACCAGTCCCACATAAATCCAGGTGTGGTGGAGACTTTCACCTTGGGAACACCAGAATAAGCCATAAACATCAGAATAAGTTGAACTCGTGCAGTACTTTGAGAAGAGAAGAATGACAGGAAAATGGATCTAAACACAGCAAAAGGTTTTCAGTGGGTTCTTTTCAGTGGCATCTGGCAGAACCAGATTTCATGCAGCCTTTGCTTTCCCAAGATGTTCAAGCATGGACATCGGTTTAGGGTTTGTCCACAGTGCTCTCACATTTGGATTCTTCACAGATACAACTGAACAAGCCTTTCTTGCTTTCTAGGAAAATAACTCACCTAATTAACCCTATTAAACCACCATGGAGGTTGGATTTTCCTCCTTTGCATCTCCCCTTTCTTTCTCTGCCTCATTTCCCTCCTGACTTTTCTCATTGGCACAATAAGGCCCTGGCCACCCCAAGAGGGTGCTCATATTGACTCAGGCATGGGGACTGAGACATGCTTAAGGCAGGAGGCACTTGGTAAGGATGGAACTCTCATTTTTAAGGCTCAGCTCTGTCCTGCTGCCTGTCCCATGAAAATGATGCCTGTCCTTCTGGCAAAGGCATCCTAAGACAGCAGATAAAAATCCCTTTAGACTCCAGGCCTGATTTGCCTCCTTTGCCTTCTCTCCCTTCTTCTGCTCTCTCTCTCCCTCTATGGTCTTTGTATTCTCTTATCTCCCCTTTGAACCTTTTCCCCAGCTCTTCCACAGTCACCAGGAAACCTCCTGAAGAACACCATTATCCTGCAGGTCCTTCCCTCAAGTCTTGCCCTCATTCTCTCTTTATCACCTAACAGGACAATTCCAGTTGTTTTCTTAGTCCAGGCTTGGTCCTGCCTCCTCCTTGACCCTTGTACAAGGCTTTGTTTGCTCTGTGGAGACTTCTTTCTCCACACAAAGTCAGCCAGGCAAACAAAGGGGCCTCAATCTGCTGGAGTCGACGGAGTCTTGTTTTTCTCCTAGACATTGACTTTGTCCATGTCATTCTGCAGGAAGCATGAACTACAACCTGCTCCTTTCCTTGACCTCTTGTCAGCAAAGCTCAAACCACTCTGGGATCACTCAATGTCTCCTCCTCAGCCAGGCTGGCCAGAGAGGCTGTTTCAAGAGACAGTTGGGCTCCTTTGATTCACCTTCAGACTGACCACTTGAGACACCCCAGAGCATCTTGTCTCACCTTCAGATGTTCTTCTAATAGACTGAGGTCTCCTAAAGGCTTTCCTGTGGGCAGGTCAGATGCTAAGGGGTTCCTCAGGTTGCATCACCAGATTGTGTTTGTGCTCCACATGAACTATGGTGGCAACTTGCTCATGCCTGGCTTGCAGACACCTGCAGTTGTGTACCTGCCTTTGAAGGCCACCATGACCTCCAATCCCCCACAGTGCTTTACCTGACCCAGCAGAACTCAGCCCTGACCTTCCCATCACCAACCCAAAGCCCAATCAGGAAAACAAACCAAGGAAAGGCTCCGAGAGGGAATCCCCCAACTTTTTGCAGATCCATGACTTACATCTGTGATCTTGGGGTTGGTGCATTTGCCCTTGGTGCTGGACAGCTCGAGCCACTGGCTGTCCTGGGCTGGGCAGTGCTGCTTCAGCGTGCACTGGTTCTGCCCCTGGCACCAGCCACACTCGAAGTCTGGGTCAGCCTTCAGGCAGAGTCCACAGCTGTCCCTCATGGCCCCACACTTGTACAGGTGAACTGCAGGGACAGGAAAACAGAGAGGACCTGAGAAATACAGAAAGCATGGGAGCGTGGGGGGATGACAGAGGGGAGAATGAGTGAGAGAGGGAAGGTGTTCTGGGCTGCTCATCCCAGAGGCAGGATGGGACCTCTCAAGGGTGGTGAGGAGCATGAGGATAAATGGTTACATCCTCCTTGAAGCTAACTGCACTTGTTAGAGCTCATTCCCATGAAAGATACTTCTGGAAGCTGAGCAGAAGGATGGATGTTGCCCTCAGTATGAAGAGTTGGGGTGAACACTGCTTGGGCAGTGACTTGACCTCAGTCCCTTCCAGACAGTCAGAGACTCTCTGAATGTCACCAAGTGTCACTGAAAGTCTCAGCCTCAGCATTTCATCCTGTTTTCTAGCCTTGGTCTACCCATAGCTTAAATCTGGGGATTTGCCTGGTATGAAACTACCCAGGACTGGGTGTTAAGGTGATGCCACTCAGGTTTCCTCCTGAACAGAAATCCTGAGAGTGAACAGCAAATCCACACAGGTTCACCAGGAGGCTGAACCCAGGGACTCACAACCAGCCTTTCCTCCCTGTTCTGCTCCAGAAACTCAGGCTGCTTTACATTTTGAAGCATTGAGTTGATCCTCCTCTAATACAGACAGCAATGATTAATGCTGAGCTCCATTTGGGGCCGTTAAGTGATTAAAAGCCTTTTTCAAATGAAGCCTAGAAACACTGCAGTTCTCCTACAAAACAAGATCATGTTATTTAGCCTCATTTTACAGCTGTGCAAACTGAGGCCTGAGCCACACAGAGAGCTGAGAGCAGAATTCTCCTCCCAGAAGATGAAGATGACAGAATTGAGGCTCTCAGACTTGATTTTCTTTCTCTGTTTGTGGGAATGGGGGTGGATTCCTTTCCAAGATGGAGAATTTTCCCTTTGTGCTTCTGTTCTGCTGTGTCAGTAGGTGACTAAAGACTTGGCTGTGGTCTTACTATACACAATCCCAAAGCTCAAAGCCTTTGGATCCCAGAGCTGAAAAGCTCTGTCTCTCCATATCTGCACCCTACAAGTCAGCAAGTATTGGTCAATGCAAGAAAAAGCTCAGAAACTCTTAATTTCTCTAGGCCAAGAACAAGAAAAGTACCCCCAAAACAGCTTGGAAAACACCTGTCAAGCAGTGTTTTACAGACCTCATGGGAAAGAGCTTTTTCCTTCATTTTCTGTTACATTTCCTCAAATTTGCTGAGCTGAGATGCTATCAGGAGTATCTCTGCAAGGAATTCCATAGGTTTGGTTCAGCTGAGCCTTTCAGCCTCCCAGCCCAGCCCCAGTGATGCTGGATGTGCCAGCAGTGGCACTTTGGCCAGCTGAAAGCAGCTCTGTGTCCTCAAGTGTGTGTGATATGTCTCCATGTGCACATGCCTAAGCTCTCCTGACCCAAAACATGCTGCTATCATCCAAACTACTCCTTCGGGACAGTCACCTGCCAGTGCCACTTCCCAGATTTTTTTTCCTAGCCATGACTTAAAACCTTGAGGCTCTGAATAACCCAAGAACTTTAAATGCCTGTGCCAAAGACTAAGCACCACAGATGTTTCTTGAGTTCAAACCTGATCTATGTCACCAGCACAGATATGTCTAAAGACACAATGATCATGATGATGAGCTTGAATTTACTCCTGCATCACCTAGGACAACTCAGTATTGCCCCAAAACAGTGTTCACACTCTTGGTATGGACCACGTTGTGTCAAGGATGATAAGGCTGTAATGGCAGCAGGAAACTAAGCAGGATTGGAGCCAGTGCCCAAATTCTGACTTCTGTTGAAGGTTATCACAATCCACAGCACAGTCTGGGCCCTTGGGAATTAGCACTCTCCTGGCAATGCTGTGGCACAGCTTGGAGAGCAGGAAACAACTTCCACGTGGAGGGAGGTGGCAGGTTCAACACAGGCTGTGCCACATTGCTGGATGCCAGGGCTGGGCAAGGCTCTCCAGCCTGGTGTGTTTACTGAGTGGATTTAACCTGCAAGAGCCACAGTTTTGGGGAAGACAGAGCAGCACCTTTGGCATTCAGCCCCACTGGCTATGGGAGCCAACAGAGAGAGCCATCAGAGGGAAAGGAGCAGGGGGAGAAGGACAGAATGGGATGATGCCATGGAGACAAGAGCTTTAATCTGCATTGCCCTCCAGCTTCATTGTGGTGTTGGTGGAAACCTCATCCATCATTCCTCAGCATGAAAGTGGGTGAGAAATGCTGTGAGAGTAGGATGGGAGTACCTGATGAGGATAGAATGAGTGGGAGATGTGGAATGTGTCCAAGAGAAGGTAAAGAGAGGGAGGGAGAAACTTGTGTGAGGTGCTGGTGTGAGAAGCTCAGAGTCTGCAGGTCTGAGCTGCACATGCAGAGCAGCCAAGAGGAGAGGGAGCCTGGGGAAAGGTTTCAGGGTGGCTGGACAAGAAGGAAGAAGATGTGAATGCACCATCCATCCCCAGCAAACCCCCTGACTCAGGGCCACAGAGGGATGTGCAGTGTCCCTCTGTGAAAGGCTGTTGGGGTAGTTAAACTCACACAGGCTCTGGGCAGGAGGTGCTTTTCAGACCTTTTTTCCCCCCCCCCCCATTTGATTTTGTTCAGAATTTCCCCACTGGCAAGCTGCAGCCTCTCTGCTCCCCCTCTCCTGTTCATTACTACACTGCTCTGAGCACACAGCCCTGTCTCCTGGCATGTTCACTTGAAGAGCATCACTGCAGGAGAAAGGAAGAGGGGGGAGAAAGCTGGAAAAGGAGGGGCAGGAAAACCAGACAGAGAAATGTGGGCACAAGCAGGAGGCAAAGATGATGAAGGGAGAGGGAAAGCAACACAAGTGGGAGGGAGAGTCACATTGCTCAGGTGGAATGAGAGAAGTGGAAGGCTGGGGAAGGAGGGGGGAGCACAAAGCACACCCAAATTGATAATTTGCAGAGTGCAGAGAACAAGGATGTACCAGACAGCACGGGGAGATGGTGGCTGCTTTGTTAAGGGTAGGGAGCAATGAGGCTTGTTGCTAAGGTTACCACTTCCAAGGACAAGTTGAAATAACTCTTTACCTTTGTTCTGTGCTGGGTTGTCAATGTTGAAATTCCCGTTCCACACGACTGTCAGCTCCACTGGCAGGCTGTTAATCTCCATCCCTTCGTAGGAATACTAGGAGTGGGAGAAGAAAAACAAAAAAACAACCCCTAACTCAGACTTACACAGTGCCCAGAGGTGGGAGGGGATGAGGGAAGAGGTGGTGCTGAACGTTGTGAACAAGAGAAATGGAGCTGTCACACACCTCTCCAATCACCATCACCTGCCACAAAGCCATGGGATGCTCTCCAAGTTGGGGATCTCAAACCCCTTTCAACAGCCCATTTAGCCAAGAGGTGAATATTCAGAGAACCATTGAACCACAGGATAGTTTGGGCTGGAAGGCACTGGGATAGGGAATTGCCCAGAGAGGTGGTGGAGTCACCATCCCTGGAGGTGTTTAAGAGGTGTCTGGATGTGGCACTGGAGGATCTGGTTGAGGAGTTACAGCAGTGACAGGTTAATGGTTGGACTTGATGACCTTCGAGGTCTCCTCCAGCCTTGATGGTTCTATGATCTTAAAGATTACCTTATTCCACCCCTTGCCATGGACAGGGACACCTCCCACCAGCACAGGTTGCTCCAACCCCATCCAACCTGGCCTGGAACATTCCCAGGGATGGAGCAGCCACAGCTGCTCTGGGCAACCTGTGCCAGTGCCTCAGCACCCTCACAGCCAAGAATTCCTTCCTAATATCCTTCCTAAATCCACTCTCTTTCAGCTTAAATCCATTCCCTCTTGTCTTATCACTGCATGTCCTTGTTAAAATAGTCCATGATTTAAGCATATTTGGATGTGATAGGAATTCCCTTGGAAATTCACTTTCCAGATGTTGAGCACAGCTCTGGAAAATAGTTCTCCATCTCTTGGGAGCACCTCCAAGGTGTAAATGATGCATTCTGGGCCTCCCATCCAACTGCACCTCTGCTGTGTACTCCAATCGTCCTGAGAACATACCTGAGGTTAACTACACTAGTGAAGCTTTGAAGAACTCTTGGAATCTGAGTGAGGTCTCAGAAATCAGGGAACAGGCACATGGAACCCCCTTTAAAAAAGGGGAAAGGGAGGTTCTGTGTAATTACAGACCTGTAAGCCTAACTTGGCTTCACAGCAAGAAAGTACATCAAATTATTAAACAATCAATTTCTAAGCACCTGCGAGATGATAAGGTGATAAAAAACAGCCAGCACAGATTTGTCAAGAACAAATTGTGTCAACCCAATCTAATTTCCTTTCTGACAGGCTTAATGACTTTGTGGATAAAGGGGAGGCAGCAGATGTGATTTATCTCGAGTTCAGTAGAGTATTTGCTACTACCCCACAGGAGATTCCCATAAACAAACAAGGGAAAGATGAACTCACAGAAAGCACGATTTATGCAGGAACTGTCAAAACCAAAGGTCAGACAGGTCCATGTCAGGCTGGGAGAGTGTTCCAAAAGGAGTATTGTCCTGGGTCTAGCCTTGTTTAGTATTTTCAGCAGTGTTGAACAGAACGGTTGTGTTGAGCAATACTGTTGGCAACATGGACAGTGGATTGAGTGCACCCTCAGCAAGTTCTCTGACCACACCAAGTGTGTGGGGCAGTCACAGCTGGAGGGAAGGGATGGGACATCCAGAGGGACCTGGACAGGCAGGAGAAGTGGAATAATGCAAAGTCCAGAGGAGGCCACGAAGTTGCTAAGCACCTTCCCTACGAGGACAGGCTGAGAGAGTTGGGGCTGTTTGGCCTGGAGAAGAGAGGGTTGTGTGGAGAGCTCAGAGCAACCTGCAGGAGCTGAAGGGGCTCCAGGGAAGCTGCAGAGGGACTCTTGGGTAGGAACTGCAGGGACAGGACAAGGAGTGATGGGTTCAAACTGAAGGAGGAGAAGTTTAGGTTATATATTAGAAAAAATTTTTTTAGTCTAAGGGTGGTGAGACACTGTCCCAGGTTGCCCAGGGAGGCTGTGGCTGCCCCAACCCCGGCGTTTCATTCCAGGTTGGCTGAGCCTTGAGCAACCTGCTCTGGTGGGAGGTGTCCCTGCCCAGGGCAGGGGGTTGGGACTAGATCATCTGTAAGGTCCATTCCAACCCTTAAATTCTATGATTCTATGACTTGGATGCTACAGACTTCAGGAATGACTATTCTGGAATCAGGTACAACATCCAACAGTAGAGTTAAGAATTCCAAGCAAACTTGACCAAGTACAGAACTGAGTCAAAATGAACCAAGTGAAATCCAATAGAGGCAAGTAGTGACTATTTTTCAG